CCCCCCCCCCCATCTGAATGCAGCCGCAGTAACCGATGGTCGATCCCGCGTCGTTGAGCCTATATACCGCGGCGGTTATAGGCAGAATTCGCATCCTGAATCCTGAAGCTCTGATGCAACAACTAGACAAACAATGAACAGCAAGTACTCCTACAACATTCTTTATGGTTCTTCTTCTGCCGCGGTAATAGTTGACGTGCAGACAGTTATGGTGCCAATAACTGGCCACACACCTTGCTTTTCTCCCCGCCTATGAGAAGGTGTGCCAGCATGCCCGTTGGAGAGTTTAAGAAAAGACATTTGACTGTCATCGACCGTCCTCTTCATCTTCTAAATGTTGGTGAGCTTACATGTACTGTTTTTCTTTTTCTCCAAACGGCGTTTTAGGTTTTGTTTTGACTTTATCTATTTGTTCGATCTATCATTTTCATATTGCTATGTAGCCCGTTTGGTGTTGATTGAACGCTTTGTTCTACCACCTAAAAAGAAAGCCCGCCACTTTTAGTATTCTTTTCCCTATATGTGGCATTTTTTTATAAAATTTTTATATAAAAAAGTGCGAAATTATGGAGGCGTTTCAAATCAAAAGCAAACCTGTTCGGGCTAACCTTTGCGCTGACACAAGCAGCGCTGATAGAAAGAGCGCAAAAGAACAGGAACGTAAGATAGGGCGGAAAAGAGCCCTGAAGGTTTTTCACCGAGGAGGAACAGATGACCATCGTCGCAGCGAGCATAAATAGTGTTGACACGCACAGTGCTATGTAGCAAGTGATGTTGCGCAGAATAATTCATACTTCACGATACATAGTGTCGAAAAAAATTGATCATTCTCTCTTTCTTTTCAATTTGGTATGCGTCAAAACTGTTTAAAATACGTGCGGTGCTTTTCTGACAGGAATCTCATACAAATAGTTGATTGATTTGTGGGGTTTAACGTCCCAAAACCACCATATGATTATGAGAGACGCCGTAGTGGAGGTCTCCGGAAATTTTGACCACCTGGGGTTCTTTAACGTGCACCCAAATCTGAGCACACGGGCCTCGACATTTCCGCCTCCATCGGAAATGCAGCCGCCGCAGCCGGGATTTGAACCCGCGACCTGCGGGTCAGCAGCCATACAAATAGTTTCGAAACACAGAGAGTGTTTCGGGTACGATATATACCAAGTGTTCAAATGTAAGCTTTATCATTTTTTTTAAAATTAGGCGCTCGAAGGCACATGAGAACTACTTGTGAAAATAAGTTAAGCGGTCAGGAGGACAGAAAGTTAGATGATAATTATAGTTTTCAGCAGCCCAATTAACTAAAATTTAATAATTAACATTTATTGGCTTCGGTAAGTTGGCATGCTTAAATTGAAAAAAAAAAGTACACAGTGGTGTTTGTACAGTTTCAGTTGGAAGATTTTTTTTAGCACGCCTGTGCTCCGATATATCCTGCTCCAAAGTATTATTGCCTTTCGCATGCATGATTACGCATGCAAGAGGGTGAGGGTAGCGCAAAGCTCCTCCCTAAAGTGACGCATCTTTTGTGTGCGCTGTGTTGGAAGCGTATGCATAGGTGATAACAGATAGCTTTGCTTTCTCGGCCGTCGAAATAAAAAATTGAAGAACCTTTGCAACCAGTGTCGTAACATGCAACTGCACAGCCTCTAACGATATTGGCAGATACCAAGCCGAGATAATGGTGCGAGCGGAGAATCCGGATGCCAGTGCGCGTGCGTTATAATGACTAGAGAAGCGTGCATGGTCATTTCCTGGGCTATACGCGAATAGCGGGACTGCTGATGTCCGAGAACTGTAAATTTTATTGAAATCAAGAGCAACAAATCCACCAATAATAACTGAAACAGTTTTGTCCTGGCTAACTCATATTTCCTGTTGCTACATAAGTTTATATTTCGGTCATGCACAAATCTCATCGAAACTCTTCACCTCTGAAGACGTCAATGCTCCCAAAAGTGTTCACAATGCCTGCCTTTGGCAGCAACGCAAAGGATGAACCGCTCTCGCGTCGACTAGATGACTCGGCGCAGTACTTCTGCAGGAATGCTCGCACAGGCAGATGTTATTCTGTCCTTCATGTAATTAACATCGTGGGGCTCTGTTACGTAAACTCGATCTTTAACGTAGCCCCGAAGGAAAAATTCGAGCGGAGAAAGGTCAGGAGACCTTGGTGGCGAAAACATCGCTCCTGCGCGCCCAATCCACTGTTGTGGAAAACGTCTGTCCAACCAGTTATTCGCCCTGGTGAAAAAAAAGTGGTGGTGCTCCAGCGTGCGGAAACCATACTTGGCGCAGGTCATTCAGGGACTGCAGACAAGATCATCAATGACAACACCTAATATTTCTTCTGTGTACATCTTTCCGTTTAATTTGTCCTAAAAAAAGTGAGGTCCGATGATCCTCTCCCCGAGTATGCCGCACCACACATCCGCACTCCAGTGAACTTAATGCTTCTTCTGCCTCAGCCAGTGTGGGTTTTCTTGTGCCCAATAATAGGCGTTGTGAAGATTAACATTTCCATTAATACTTTGGTCAAACTGAGCTTTATCAGTCCAAATTATTCATAGCAAAAAGTCATTTTTTGATCAGTTTTGATGAGGCCCTGATTGCAGAAGTCAACTCACCTTTCAAAGTCCGCCTCATTTAGGTCCTGATGAAGGTAAACGTGATTATGGATGGAACGTGTGCTTTTTTAGATTGATTTGTGGGGTTAACGTCCCAAGACCATTATCTGATTATGAGAGACGCCGTATTGGAGGGCTCCGGAAATTTCGACCACCTGTGGTTCTTTAACGTGCAACCAAATCTGAACACACGGGCCTACAACATTTCCGCCTCCATCGGAAATGCAGCCGCCGCAGCCGGGATTCGAACCCGCGACCTGCGGGTCAGCAGCCGAGTACCTTGGCCACTAGACCACCGCAGCGCGGCATGGTTTTTCAGAGCATTAGTGACTGCTCCGACGCGGCGGAGCAGTGAAAAACCACGCCCCGCTGCGATGGTTTAGTGGCTAAGGTACTCGGCTGCTGACCCGCAGGTCGCGGGTTCGAATCCCGGCTGCGGCGGCTGCATTTCCGATGGAGGCGGAAATGTTGTAGGCCCGTGTGTTCAGATTTGGTTGCACGTTAAAGAACCACAGGTGGTCGAAATTTCCGGAGCCCTCCAATACGGCGTCTCTCATAATCATATGGTGGTTTTGGGACGTTAAACCGCACAAATCAATCAATCAATCACTCAAGATGAGATGTAGTCCGCTGCGGTGGTATAATATGGTCACGGCACTCACTTGCTGTCTCAAAGATCATGGCTTCGATCCCGGTCGTGGCGATCACAAGAGGCGAAATGCTACAAGCCCCGTGATCTCATGTGCCATGTCAGTGCATGTTAAGATCACCATTTCCATTATGGTGCGCATCATCGTAACCCCGTGGCTTTGGCAATTATATAAATATATTTGAAGTATCAATTTCCATCAAATGAATATTGAACACAGAAACGAAAGTAAAAAAAAAACGATAATTCTGAACCCGTTTTGTTGGATTCACGCAGTCGAACGCAGCGGAATAGACAGCCCTGCGACTATATATAACTTATTGCAGTGGCCCCAAAAGGTACAACTATTGGAATATTCAACCATAATCGTATTTTCTAAAGTGAGTTGTGTGGGGTCTTTTTATTCAATTTTAATAGCTTTGATGCGACGAAAATAAATAAAATCAGGCTGGTTCCGCAAAACGTCTCTTATTTCATGCCGATGCTTCATTTCACACGGTAGGGTAATCACTGCTTTATTGAATTGACCAATGGCGATGTCAGTGCTCAACACCAGGCGGTTGAAAATTTCGGAGCCCTCGACTGCGGTGGCCCTCATAATCATACCATGGTTTTGGGACGTAAAAAAAATCCATTATGATAAAACCGATATTCAGAATTTTGGGTTAGCGATTTCTTTTTCGCTTGTCAGTTTCCCATCGGCCACTCGGCAGATTCCGGGTGAGGCTTCTAATAAATGATGGTAGTAGAATTTTCTATGTCCTGTACCTTGAACTTGAACCCCTGCGTTATTGGCTCACACCCACTTTTGGGGAATTGGACAAGAAATGGATAGTCTGTGCCTGAAAGGCAATAATCGTAACTGAAGCATCTTCGGTTGCTCATTTTTTGTCCTCTAATCCCGGCTTCGGCGGCTGCATTTTTGATGAAGGCGAAAATGCTGTAGGCCCGGGTGCTCAGATTTGGGTGCACGTTAAAAAACCCGAGGTGGCTGAAATTTCCGGAGCCCTCCACTACGGCGTCTCTCATAATCATATAGTGGTTATGAGACGACGTTAAACCCCATCTATCTATCTATCTATCTATCTATCTATCTATCTATCTATCTATCTATCTATCTATCTATCTATCTATCTATCTATCTATCTATCTATCTATCTATCTATCTATCTATCTATCTATCTATCTATCTATCTATCTATCTATCTACTTTTTTTTCACTTAAGCTTACGTTCTCAATTTGTTCTTTCTCTCCAGTTTGCATTCAAATTTATTTATTTTTGATATTATTTCTGTGTTTTCATCATAATGTGAATAAATGTTTTCATGTTGGTGTGTTGGTGGCCAACTTTCCATGCGTAAGCACCATTTATACAGCAGCAAGAAAATACGCATGTGTCCGCAAGAAAGAAAAAGAAAGAAAGACAGACAGACAGACAGACAGACAGACAGACAGCAAGAAAGAGAACACTTAAAACATCGTCGGCATTCTAGGCGACAAGATTTAGCGATTAGTCTGATAGCATTGCAAAGAAAAAGCGCTGGCAGCCGTCGCAGGCACCTGGAAGATAATGCCCAAACGTGTGCTTTTTTTTTTATCAACGCTCCGCAGCTGTTTCACGACGGAGCTCTGATTATAAACGCCAGTCGCTCGGTGCCAGCTTTCGGGAACAGGAAGAGCACTCCCTCTCAATATGGCGGCTGACTGCGGCCGCCGCGAATGCAGCGCCGTTTTGTCAAGCAACTAGCCGCGGCCGTCGTCAGCGGCGGTGGGGCAGCGGCGTTGCGGCCGAGGCCAGCTGCGGCGAGGCAGCCTCGGGCAGCGCGGCGGCTGCGTTGCTTCCGGGGCCCTTTGGCAGCCGGCGCTGACGAAGACGACGAAGCTGAGGACGGCAGGCAAAGCTCGTTGCAGGCCACGGCGGCCACCGTGGAGCCGTGCCGCCGCCGGTGCGGGCCCAGTCCCGCCCGGCGGCGTCGTCGACGGCAGCGCCTCGTCCGGGAAGGTCGCCCAAAGGTCGGTGCGATGGCGTCGTCTGCGCGCTATATTTAGTCGTCAGTCTCTTCGCGTGGGAGACTATGACCCCGAGCGAATGGCAGTCCTCGTGTGCGATTGGGCTCGCTAGCTGCCGGCTCCGCGCCGAGTATCTGGCAAGGCAACTTTACTGCAAGCCTTTCACTTCCATGGATGACCGGCCCGCTGCGGTGGTGCGCTGTCCGCCGTGCCGTCAACAGTCGTCCGCCTCTGTCAACGGTTCGACAGGATCCTGGCCGAGCCCCCCGGCGCCGCAAGACGCGTCCAACTTCCTGGTGCGTACAGGCCGCGCTCTCTACGACCGGCTCTTTTCATTGCTCCAAGATCAAGCCAGCGACTGCGTCGTTCAGTACTGCGAGCAGGGTTCCAACGCTGATGATTCGTCGCCGACGTCTTCCGTCGACGAACCTGCCGGCACACTGGCGTCTCAGCAAGCAGCTGCCGTAGCTGCTGACTTGTGCGGGCGAAACACTGTTGTCGTAGAGGAGCCCCGAAGCGCGCCTCTGTCTGAGCGCCTGCCGCAGAGCCCCGCCGTCGTCTCCGACGCGGTGCCCTGCATCCCCCCCGAGCTGGAGGTCAAAAGCACCGAGAATGTGAAAGGTGATGCAGACGAGGAGCCGCGCCGCTACCCAGCTGAGCGAGACGTGGTGCGCGCCGCGCTTTCACATCGTGCCCCTGACGACAGCTTTCATTTCCCTATCGTGCAAGAGCTGGTGCGGCCTGGCGTGTTGGTGCACAACGAAAGCGACTCCTCGTGCGACCTTTCCGATGACGCCTTCCACGACGCTGCTGACGGACTTGCCGAGGAATTTCGCGATGGTAGTGGTTCGTCGGAGACCAGCAGCGAGGATAAGGCACTCACCACGGCACCGAATGATTCGGGCAAAGCTGCTGCTCCGGCCAGCCCTCCTGCCATCGTCGCTACCACTGATAACGTGCCCACAATCTCTTCTCCAGCTGCTGTTTCATCGCCTCCCGCTATTTCGTCGGTGTCCACTTCACCCACTACGGAATCCTCGTCAAGTAGCGGCAGCAGTTCCTCACAGGGGGCGTCTCCGAGCAGGCCACGGTCATCGCGCTTTGCGAAGCACCGATTCGCCGAGGCTCCACCGTGTAAGGTGACGCCCAAGCCAGCTGCACAGCCAGAGCACGCGGTTGACGAGTCGTCGTCGTCGTCCGAAACGCTGTCACCCCCCGCCGTTGACAACAAGATGCCGCCGGCCACTCCTCCCAAGCGGGACTCCGTCGACAGCGACGATGACGAGAGCGGCCGCGCCGTCCTTGTTCGCAGCACGTCGCTCAAGAGCGGCAAGAGTCCACCGGGCACGCCGTTCAAGAAAAAGATCGTGCGATTCGCCGACGCTCTGGGTCTTGACCTGGCTGCTGTGCGAACCATCGTGTCCGAAGAGCTGCCGTTTGTACCGGCTTCCGCCTTCACACACCTCCAGCTGGCGCCGCTCGTGCGGTCGCCACCTCCGTGCACGCTCGAGCTGAAGCCGTTGTTTTCGCAGCCTGGTGCCAGTCCGACCTTCATGAACCGGCTGACGAGCCAACGCGTCTGCCTCGAGTCTGTCGTGACGTCGGGCTGCGCCCTACATGCTGTCATCCGGGTGTTGAACGTGGCCTTCGAGAAGTTGGTGGTGCTGCGTTACTCGCTGGACAACTGGCGATCCTTTTGCGACCTGCGTGCCGTCTACTTGCCGGGCTCGTCAGATGGCATCTCGGACCGTTTCGGCGTCGACGTCTACCTCACGCCCCAAGGTGACGCGCAGCTGCAGATGTGCGTGCGCTATGTTGTCGGAGACCAGGAGTACTGGGACAATAATGACGGCGCCAACTACTGCTTCGAGTTCCGGGACTCCCCTAAAGACGAGCCCGAAGTGACGCCTCTGATGAACTACCTCTGACGCGAGCGGAAGCTCTCCGAAGGACCCTAGTATTTATTCGTGCGCGCGCGCATAGCTGTACAGGAAGGAATGTGTGGCCGAGGTGGACTTGATTCGCGCTGTGCGTTCAAAGACATAGGTTAGCAATAATAAATGGACATGCCAGACGGGATCTGCTTGCCGACCCGCGACCGTATGTGAGAGGACTGTGGCCGACGTGCCCGCGCTGGTGGCCTCGCGGGAAAAGCGCGGTAACAGCCCTGAGTCGCTCCTTGGTATTTATTTATTGTTTGTTTAGTGTGGAGGCGCACGCCAGTGATGTGTAAGGAGCAGGGATGTTGTGGTCGTCTTTCAGAGTAGCCTGCCTGCATTTTTCAGAATGAGAGGTATATTTTCGGAAATTTGGATCGACAAATGCCTTAAAAATTATTCCGCGAAGTTTAAATGAAGTGCGTGATGGCTGTTAACGTCAAACAGAATAAATAAATAAATAAATGTTTCGTGAAAGCAAGTGCAGTCACACGTGAAGAGTACTGAGGTGCTAGGAAGTGATTACACTTTAGTATTATTCACTGCAGTTTTGTCGCGTCAGAATTCGGGCAGTTTATGCAGCGAAAGGAAGGTGTAACAATCTTTTAGGACATGGATATTTTCGTCTGCTGTTAAGTGCTCGGAGTTGGTACACTAAAGCGGTCAAAATAAGTGTACATGCAAAGAAAGGTGCAAGCCCTTGTGTGCCCCATTCTTTGCATGTTTAAGCGCTTCAATAACTCGTTTCCCTTTCTGTGCGAGCCTTTCGCGCATAACAGGGGTTGCTGCACGGCATGTGTAACGACCAGAACCTGATTGCTGGCGTATTTTTTGGCTTCAGGCAGTCTCTATTGTAGTCTGTCTTGCCAGTTGTGGCGCGGCCCGTATGTAGTACAACTGGTGCAGCGTGTTTAATTTTCTACATTCAGTCAACCTGCGAAAATTGCTGCGAAAGAGGCGCGTCTACACTCGAGCATTTCATCGGCTGTGCTACAAGTTGGCGTTCCTTAAATCGCAATCCCAGCTTGTTCGCGGTGTACGAGATTATTTCCAAAAAGGCGTGTATGGTGGCCACTTAGGGGGCTTGCGGAGTGAAATGCGACGTTAAAGCTTCAAGAATGTCTTGTTTTTGCGTACAATTGCGCGAGATGACTACGTCGGGTCGCTACAAATATTTCCAAAGATTGGGATGGTTCTTGTCTACGACGTTGTCGCCATCGATGTGACAAACGAAAGACGGTGGGAGCGGAATGATTTGCACAACGTAGCCCTAAATTGACGCGATTCATCTTCTGAGCACGTATACACAACTATAGACTCCTGCTTCCAGTAACGCCACTCGCTACGTACAGTGACCACGCGTCAAGGCGGCTTACGTGTGCGAGGCGTGGTCATTGTGTTAAAAACTTTTCTTCACTAAATGTTCACTTAATCCACGTGATGGCAGCCCTGTCGAAGCAATTTTAACACGCGTCAGTTAATATTGGTTCGAGAGGTTGCGGGCGAGAATTTCATTAATATTGCACCATCCAACTCCGCTGCAAGCGGCCACATTTTATCATCCAGACAGTGCACGCATGTAACAAGCTGGTCAGGGAATACCCACCAGCCATATATTCATAGCTTCCTGGCATTTCTGCTAGAACACAGTTAACGATATTTTAGCCATTAACTTGATACGATCATCTGTTTACTGCGAACCAGCTCGGCGGAGCTGTTGTGTACATACATTTATCGGCTCGAAAACTTCTTTTCGCGAAAGAACAGTAACCCGACACACCGCACTGCCAATTTTTTGAACATAAGTAAAGATAATGTTCACAGTAATGGCTATTTGGCACTGAAGAGTCAGAGCCCATGACTTTGCACATTTCATCTTTGATCCCATGCCACACATTCTTCTACCGGCGCTCTGCGTTTCAGTGCCAACTACCACCTTATTGCCGACGAAGTGAAACCTACCGGGTCATTGCGTCATATTTGCATTCCAGCCGGTGGGTGGGTGCCAAAGGTTCTTCCAAGTTTATTCTGGAAACAAGTGCTGACAACTTCGCGGCTGACTTTCGCTATGATGTTACGTCGGAACCATGGGGCTGATATTGTTTTTCGTGGGCTTTTATGAAAAAGAAACAAACAAGAATTACGGTATAAGAACTATAAAGACAATGGATTTGTGTTCTACTCCCGCCCTTCATCGAGCAGGAACACCCTCAATTAAAGCTACCTATTGCTGCCCCGATTCTTGATCCACCCCTCTTATTAGATACGCGTCATCAATAAAAATCATTGATCTACTTTCGATTAGGAAATGGAAAAAAACAACTTGAACGGCCGTTTGTACTATACACTTTTTACAACTAGCACAATTCACGCACGCGTACAATTATTCGTGCCCCAGGTCCCTTTTGTCTGCGAATATATGCACCCATGTGTGTCGTGGTCGAAACGACAAACAGCCACAATGATGCGAGATTTGTAGCGTCTTCTCTCTGGTGTTTATCGTACATAGCGAAAAGATCGCGGAAGCGATGAGTCTCACGTAAGTATACGGTACACGATTGAATGCAGAGGGCTCGGGAATGTTTCAAGAGCCGTATTTCGTGTGGTCGCCGAGGCAAGTATCGCCCGAGTGCAGCTAGCGGAAGCTCCAGAAGTTCGTTTTACGTAGTACTTGCTGGTGCCGCGCGAACCAGTGGCAACATTAAAACGGGATTATCCGACAAGTTTCAAAGTCGGTGTTTCCTTTTAAGCGCAGCCCTTGGTGTTGTTTGAGGTCACGATGTTTCATCAAGGAGGAGGCTGCGTGGCTTGCAAAGACACGCTGTGGTTGTAACCCAGCGACGGGCTCCTCTATCGCGCCGATTTCGCCCTTTCGCGTCACTTTCAATTGACATTCGGCGCACGTGTCGATACAGCGTCGGGGAATGCGCTGGTCGCCTTCTGGCCGTGATTGCAGAACGAACCCACGCTGCAGAGCACGAGATATTATATGCCGAGCCCAATTCGCTGCGTTCTGCGCAGTGAGTGAATGTTTATTCCGATAAATGAATCCTACAGGTTAGGACGGCGTTAGTGAACTATTGAGGAGAAAGTGTTGCGGCCTTCCCACAGACGGCGTCGATGGTGCGTGATAGTGGGTTTCCATGATCACGTCCCTCGCTTACCGTCGGCCGATCGATCGGCGCGCTCATTTATTCGCACCGGATAATCGAGGCACTCCTTCAATGTGCATGCATCACTGTGTGCCATCGTATGTGCGAACTTTTACATATAAAGGCACGCATCTTCCTTAACCACCAGCCTCTTTCGGTCCCCTCCCCCCCCCTTTTTTTTTCGCTTCGTTAAACAATGGCGACGTGAACCGGTAGCTTAGTTTTCTGGTGCACGCAAGTTTGAATTATCCATTGCCAGTAGCCGTTGATAACTTCTGTAGTTTTGCAAGTCCTGCGTGCTACACGTATACGTTGCATTTTAGTAATTGATGCTTTCTGTCTGTGTCCGTGTTAAAGGCACATAGAAAGCAATTGTTGTATATTTATTTTTCCACACTGCTTTGTCGCGCTCGCATGCATGGCCTGGTTCATACGCTGCGAAACCTCCCACACATTGCGTCAGCTTTTCACTCTTTCCAGTGGCGAAGATACTTAACAACATTCGAAAGCGGAGTGTAAAGTAAGCGTATGGGGAAGTAGACATAGAGGGGTAGGAGGTAATACTTTGTAAATACTACTGGTAACATATAAAACATGTTATGGCGTTCAAGCAAGTAACTGTATAAGATACGCACACATGTGCGTTTCTTTAGGCGGTATTTTTGAAAATAAATCGCATATGGCCGTATTTTTAGAAATATTTGATAACACGCCTATAGGCGCCTATAGAAGTGTACCGAAATTCCTCTTTTGCAGCGGAGTTCCCTAGCGAAATGGGTATATACTCGTAACATGAGTTTCAAACGACATATTACAAAAACTTGATGATAAACTTGTCTAAACGGCTGCGTGAACCCAGCTGTTGTAGGTACATGTGAAACATTTGGGGAAGTCACAGCCGAATGCATCTGCTTCCTTCAACCATTAAAAATCGTGCATTATTTGATATGACGGCGGGGAATTAACGTGCCGAAACCACGATATGATATGGCCTCTGGCTAATTTTGGCCACTTTCTTTAACGGGAACCTAAATCTAAGTATACACGGAGGTTCTTGCACCCCTCCCTCCCCTTCTAATCGACCAAACTCAAAAGAGCGATAATCGAGTTTTAGCGCTCAGTCCAAACAATATCATTTGATTTACATGGGTCTGGTTACAAAACGGGCCTAGTGGTGCTCTTATGTTTTGCATCGGTAACGTTTCCAAGCATATTGAACTTTCAACTTTATTTCCAACACAAAACAGTTGGGTATTCCCCAGGCAAAAAAGCTATTAAGAACAGCTTGAGGGGACTTGGGGGACCGTACAGGCAGCAGTGAATGGATAGTCGCAGAGAAAAACCAACAAAACTGTATAACTTATACAATTTTATAAATAAACAACAAAGGTACGACAGAAAAACAAATAAAAAGATATAACATAATGCACAGATACCGCGAAATGAATGTTACACAAAAACGCACATCAAGGTTCAACACACAATATAAATGAAAGTGAATAAGACAGGTACATTCAGAAAATGAGAACATTTGAAACACATAATAATGTTGGATAATGCAAGAAGAATGGTATGACGACATGCATGAGCTTATGGTGTAATGACTGTGTGCTCATTTAATAGAAATGGTCTTATTTGTTTTTTTTTAATTTGATATAGTGAAACATCAAAGTTTATTTGTAAAGATACACGGTTTACTAGGGTGGGTATATGATAAGTGAGGGCTGATATTCCATAATTTGTTCATGTTCGTGGTATTTAGTGTCTGCTTATTGCGTAGAAGGTAACGTTCTGACGTTTCATTTGCAATGTTCAGCATGCAGATTATGTTTATGCATGTGCATGAGGAGTTTATAGTCATATAAATTGCTTGCTTTAAGCAGATTATGCTTAATAAGTAGTGGATTTGTTGATAAGTGTATTGGCTCGCCAAAATAATCATCAAATAGCCTGAACGTATTCTTTTGCATTGTTTCCCGTTTTCTGTAATTAGTAGTTGTTGTGGTACCCCAGACGAGTGTGCTGTACGATAACCGGGAGTAGAAATGCACATAATATATCGCATTTTTTTAGATGTAAAGGAATTAAATCTGAAAGTTTGAATATTTCACCGATAGCTCTGCTTAGTTCTCAAGTTAGTTTATTGATGTGTGTATTCCACGACATGCTTTCTTCAAACCACACCCCATAAATTTCTGGCATTTTACGCGCTCTAAAACAGTGTCCTGAAATGTTAGCGTAATCTGGATGTCACATGGTTTATTAGGGGGCCTTAAGAGGACATAATTAAATTTATTTATATTTAGGGCTAATTTATTTGCATGAAGTC